GTCGAAGCTAGAAGTCTCTATACGGATTGGACCGACTTGAATAACTTAAGTTCATATCTTGTATTTGTATTTAGAAACTTGTACAAAAAAATGTACATTCAAAACATAGTTATTAACACCTCATGTCGTTATCCTAAAATTTAGAACGTACTTATTAAATTTAAATCTTAACTGCGTCTATATGTACACCTTCACATCCTAGATTTATAATACATGATACGTAAACTTAAAATTCTGAATCCGTTGATATGTATATGTGTATTCATCTTGTGTTTTTTTTTTAAATTTCAGGCTACCTTACTCAGGTTGAAGGAATAAAAAACAAGGTGTGGCTATTTTTGAATGTTATCGGATGAAGGAGAAAAAAAAGAAGTAACTACTAATTATTATATATAGTTAATTAATGTCCGCTTAATGTAAAAGCTAACCCCAAAAATTTCATATTATGTATGTAATTGGTGTATTAATCCCATGAATTTGTCTCCCATATTTTATATAAATATTATCGTAAGTATCTATTAACTTAATTAATTAGCACTAATAATCTTTTGATTGAACTGTCACCTTGTAACTATATAAAGGCTTAATTATTTGCCTTTCTTTTTTGTTGTAAAATTAAATGTTTACTTGGTGACCATAAACTATACTTTTATTTATAATCGGATTTGAGCATAGGCTATTTTGAAATTTGTAGTAGATGATTTTGTAATATATTATTGTAAGAATAATATAAATTAATTTTTAGAATTATTTCCATAACAAGCACTAATTAATTTTATGGTCCTTATAGTTCATATATAGCTAGATTTCAGAATTCTTTTTTTTTTCGAGGGAAAAGAGAGAAAGTAATCTCAATTACTTTCGTCTTATGCCATTAAATTGTTAATTGATGTTTGATGTTAGTAGTGAAGTTTAGCTAGTTTAGTCTATTTACTTTCTCTTATGCCATGAAATTATCGACCTTAGTTATTGATTTGTTGAAGTGCTTTTGTGTCAAAAGCTTCAATTTTTTTATTTTTTTTCCAGTTTGATTATTTGATTGTTCTTGAAATTTTGGGTTTTTCTCTGCTTTTCTGTTCATGTTTTGTGTTAATTTCTATTATTTTTAGTTTATTTATAGGTTGGTTTTGGGATAATTTGTCTTGTTGTAGTTTTTTTTTTTTTTTTTGGCTTACGATTTGTTGAGTGCCTTTCGATTTATATGTCAATTAGGGGTGTACAAAATCTAACCGAAAATCGAACCAAACCGCAAATTGAGTCAACCCAAAAAAAAAATCCGACTAGTGAGTTGGTTTGACTTGGTTTGGTTTTGAAAAAAAAAAACCCGACTATATTTGGGTTGGTTTGGTTTTAACTAAAAAAACCAAACCCGACATTATATAATAATTTTAAAATTTTATTTTATACATAAAAATATTTACTTTGATTTAATTTTTAAAAATTTCTTATACTTTTTCATAGTTTTTATCTTTTAATATATTATTTCAAGTTTGAAGCTTAGAATTATGAATGAGCCAATAAAGATTATAGTCCACATATGTTGGTAATTATAATAAAGCTTAAATCAAAATCAAATTAATACTAATGCAAAAAGAAAATCAATTCAACACTAAGAATGACAATAATATTGAATATTTGTTCTTCAGTTTTACATTGGTTTAGACAATTAAAATACATAATCTAATTTTAATTTCCTTTAATATTTAGTCATGTAACTAATACTTATTAAATTTAATTTAAGCATGATTTAGTACTTTTAAATTATGATCATTTTCATTATGACTTATTAATTTGTAATATTTGTGTTATATTTTTAAGAAACATCTTAAATAGTTGTATTTTGGTAGGACTAAAGAAATATTTGAAGTACTAGTAAATTATATGTTTGTATGAATACTTTACCGGAAAAACCCGAAAAACCGACAAAACCCAAGGTTGAAAAACCCGAGTTTTATTGGTTTGGTTTATAAATTTAAAAATCCAACACAAATGGTTTGGTTTGATATTTGAAAAACCCGAACCAACCCAGCCATGTACACCCCTAATGTCAATTATATGATAAGCATGCTAAGTCTAAATCAGACAAGTAAAAATAAACATAGGGAGTTATTATGTTTATTTTGTCCACCATACTATCAATCGATGTCCATTTTCTAGACAAGTAAAAATAAATATAGGGAGTTACTATGTTTACTTTGTCCCATATACTAACAATCGATGTCCATTTTACTTGTTCGATTTAGAATATCAAGAAAGTCTCACATTGAGGGTAATTCCTAACAAAGATGACCACGTATCCAGGAAGACTCAAACTCGAGACATCTGATTAAAGATGAAAGAGTACTTACCACTCCAGCACAATTCTTGCTGGTTTATTATTAAGAGTTAATAGTTGAAAACACATGTAAAACAGTCCGATTTTTTGAGTTTCATATCCGAACCATTAGGTGGGTATGTGTTTCTTATCTAAACTATAATAAACTATTTATCAGAACTTAACTCAACTATCAGGTGTGTGAATTTTCAAAACTATTTATCAAAATACATCTCAACTATAAGGGGTGTGAGCCTTCTAAACCATTTATCAAAACACATTTCAACTATCAAGTGTGCGAGTTTTCTACCTAAAATATCACCAAGTAAAAAGAGAACAATTGAATATTGCTACTTGAAAGACATTTCAATAAATAGCTAATGATAATTCAAATAGAAATCTCACACATATATTAGTTCAAATATGAAATTTAAAGAAATCAAAATAATTATCATTCTATTTATAGTTTCTTATTGGTATTCATCAAGTCAATACTGCATTGTGAGACTATTGGTTGTTAACAAACTCCAAACAACCGACAAAACATAGATCACCAAATTCACTTTCCTAATATAAATTTTTTATCCCAAATCTACCTCTTCTTCCCCATCTTGCTTATTTTCACTGATTTAGTGGCTAACTCCTACTACAATCATTACTACAATCATAGAAGTAAAACATCAGAACCAAGCTAGAAGTCTTTAAAACATGTATATACAAGGCCGAGCGATAACAAAAGTCAGGGGTGTAATTGAATTTAGTAATTTTGGCTCAAATTTGACAATTGCGTGTTAAGAAATTTTCTTAATATGTATTATCGAAGCTAGAAGTCTATATATGGATTGGACCGACTTGAATAACTTAAGTTCATATCTTGTATTTGTATTTAGAAACTTGTACAAAAAAAATTATATCCAAAACCTAGTTATTAACATCTCATGTCGTTATCCTAAAATTTAGAATGTAATTATAAAATTTAAATCTTAACTATGTCTATATGTACACCTTCACACCCTAGATTTATAATACATGATACGTAAACTTAAAATTCTGAATCCGTTGATATGTATATGTATATTCATTTTGTGTTTTTTTTTTTAATTTCAGGCTACCTTACTCAGACTGAAGGAATCAAAAACAAGGTGTGGCTATTTTTTTATGTTATCGGATGAAGGAGAAAAAAAAGAAGTAACTACTAATTATTATAGTTAATTAATGTCCGGTTAATGTAAAAGCTAACCCCAAAAAAATTCATATTATGTATGTAATTGGTGTATTAATCCCATGTATTTGTCTCCCATATTTTATATAAATATTATCGTAAGTATCTATTAACTTAATTAATTAGCACTAATAATCTTTTGATTGAACTTGTCACCTTGTAACTATATAAAGGCTTAATTATTTGCCTTTCTTTTTTGTTGTAAAATTAAATGTTTACTTGATGACCGTAAACTATAATTTTATTTATATTCAGATTTAAACATAGGTTATTTTGAAATTTTCAGTAGATGATTTGTAATATATTATTGTCTAAATAATTTAAATTAAATTTTAATTTTGGAAAGTCTATTTACTTTCGTCTTATGCCTTTAGATTGTTATTTCGAATCATTTTTTTCTTTCGTTCTCAGTTGGTATTTGATGCTAGCATTGAAGTTCGACTAGTTTAGTCTATTTACTTTCATCTTATGCCATGAAATTGTAGACCTTAGTTTTTGATTTGTTGAAGTTCTTTTGTGTCAAAAGCTTCAATTTTTAGTTTTTTTTTCCAGTTTGATTATTTGATTGTTCTTGAAATTTTGGGTTTTCTCTGCTTTTCTGTTCTTGTTTTGTGTTAATTTCTACTTTATTTATATGTTGGTTTTGGGCTATTTTATCTTGTAGTTTTTTTTTTTTGGCTTACGATTTGCTGAGTGCCTTTCGTGATTAGAGTGCCTTTCGATTTATATGTCAATTAGCGTGCTAGGTCTAAAGTAGACAAGTAAAAATAAATATAGGGAGTTACTATGTTTACTTTGTCCACTATACTAACAATCGATATCCATTTTACTTGTTCGATTTAGAATACCAAGAAAGTCTCACATTGTGGGTAATTCTTGACAAAAGCGACCTCGTATCCAGGAAAGACTCAACCTCTGGTTAAGGTTAAATGAGTAATTACTACTCTACCATAACTCTTGTTGGTTTAATTAAGGATGAAAGAGTACTTATCACTCCACCACAACTCTTGTTGGTTTATTATTAAGAGTTAATAGTTGAAAACACATGTAAAACAGTCCGATTTTTTGAGTTTCATATCCGAACCATTAGATAGGTATGTGTTTCTATAATAAACTATTTATCCAAACTTAACTCAACTATCAGGTGTACGAATTTTCAAAACTATTTATCAAAACACCTCAACTATAAGGGTGTGAGCCTTCTAAACTACTATCAAAACACATTTCAACTATCAAATGTGCGAGTTTTCTACCTAAAATATCACTATCGTTCAAGTAAAAAGAGAACGATTGAATATTGATACTTGAAATACATTTCAATAAATAACTAATGATAATTCAGATAGAAAACTCACACATATATTAGTTCAAATATGAAATCTAAAGAAATCGAAACAATTATCCTTCTATTTATGGTTTCTTATTCGTATTCATCAAGTCAATACTGAACTGTGAGACTATTGGTTGTTAACAAACTCCAAACAACCGACAAAACATAGATCACCAAAATTCACTTTCCTAATATAAAATTTTATCTCAAATCTACCCTCTTCTTCTCCATCTTGCTTATTTTCACTGATTCAGTGGCTAACTCCTATTACAATCATAGAAGTAAAGCATCAGCACCAAGCTGTTTGTTTGTTTGGAGCAAAAATGGGATCTGTTTCTTTGAAAATAGGTGATGGAACTGCTAGATTCAAGAAAGCTACATATTGTTCTTCAGCTCTAAATCTACTTATGCTTTTCTCTGTTGTTACAACTAATCTTTTTGCTTTATATGCTTTTACATCCTCACCCAAGAACCCCCATTATCATCTACTACTCCCACATACCCACAAGAACATATCTTTAATCTCAGAACAAGTTTCTTTAATTCTAAGAGAAATTGATTCTTCCCAAAAAAAACTTGCCCAAATGGAAAAAGAGCTTTTAGGGTATGAAAGTTTTGATCTTTCTAGTCCCAAAGTTCCAAATGAAGTGAGAAATTTCTTGCAACCCCATTTGCTCCCTTTAGGTAAAGATTCAAGAACTGGGATTACTGAAATGGTTGCTTCTATTGGACATTCTTGTGTGAAATCTTTAGATTTGCTTTCTCAGTTTATGAATTATAAGGTTAATGGTCTTTGTCCTGATGATTGGAGTGTTGGGCAGAAGCTGATTCTTAGTGGCTGTGAGCCTTTGCCAAGAAGAAGATGTTTTGCTAAGACAATACCTAAGGTTGGTTTACTTAAATTACCTGATTCACTTTGGGGAAATTATAGTGAAAAGATTTATAGTTGGAGTGGTCTTAGTTGTAAGAATGTTGCTTGTTTAAATGTTAAGAAATTGAATAGAGATTGTGCTGGTTGTTTTGATGTTGTAAGTAGTGGTGGGTATGAGAGGCAAAGATATGTTAAGGGTAGAGGAAAAAATGATTTCTTGATTGATGATGTATTGGGAATGTTGGGAAATGGTGGTGGAATTAGAATTGGATTTGATATTGGTGGTGGATCTGGTACATTTGCTGCTAGAATGGCTGAAAGGAATGTGACTATAGTTACTTCTACGTTGAATGTTGATGCACCATTTAATGAGTTCATTGCTGCACGGGGTGTATTCCCGTTGTATTTGAGTTTAGATCATCGGTTTCCCTTTCATGATAACGTGTTTGATTTGGTACATGTGGGAAATGTATTGGATGTGAGCGGACGTCCTGAGAAATTAGAGTTTTTAGTGTTTGATATTGATAGAGTTTTGAGGGCTGGAGGGTTGTTTTGGTTGGATAACTTTCTTTGTTCAAATGAAGACAAGAAAACTGCATTAACGAGGCTGATCGAACGTTTTGGGTACAAAAAGCTTAAATGGATTGTTGGTGAGAAGATCAATGGTTCGGGAAAATCTGAGGTTTATTTGTCTGCTGTTCTACAGAAACCAGTAAGGGTTTGATGGTAACGCGGGGTTTCTCATAGAAAAGCTGTGCAAGTTCATCATTGACATAGAATAAGTGAACGTATTCGTCTTCTTTTACACAACTGCTAACCAGCATCATAGGAGGGAGGCGGGTTCGGCTTTGTGGCAGGTATTATATGTCTACGATCTGTAAGATTATGCACTTATCTTTGCATTGAACTAGATATTGCTGGCATTGGCATGAGCCTTTTGTCTGTGTCAATTGTTGATTTGAGTTTAGGAAGAAAAGAAAACGAAGCTTTTTTTCAAATTTCATTGTATTGTTGGGATATAAGTTACATCATCTGATATTGTCCCCTTGATTAAAGCATTTGGTTGATGCCTTTTGGACATATCGTTATGTTCTTGATAATCTTGTTTGATATAAACTTGGGGTATACTGTGTGCAACTTACAACATGTGTACTTTCTGAGATACAATAACTAGATGACTACCAAATGGTCGACTATTCGAATTTGGTAGGTACTTTTTTCCCTAGAAAAGAAAAGTATGATCGAGAGGACTCTCTCGTTCTTCAAGTATGTCATTTGAGCCATAATGCTAGTCCGCCTATAGACCATGTCCTCAGGGATGGAGCCACAGTGCTAGTCCGCCTGTGTCCTATGCTTTTTTGGTTCAGAGCGTGCTTTCTTTCTCTGCCCAAGCATGTAACTATACAGGTGAGAAAAGCCTGCATTTTCACAAACATCGTCTTGTCAATCATTGCTCTGGCTATCCTAATAATAATCTAAAAAGTAACTGTAATAAACTCGATGTTTTGTCACCGAGTTCCCTCACCAAGAAACCGAGTAAATAAACAGAATTGACATATTTGAGCTGAACGCGAAGATACTTTTAGTAAGAGAATGATGTTATGGTTCTTGCCTGGTAAATAGATGGCAAGGCAAACAAATGCTGCATAGTAGTAATCAAAAGAGAAATTCCATTTGTTTGGCAACCTAATAGAATACTTTCCAGATTCCTACGAAAAAACAAGTCGATAACAAGACATAGTTAGCTATCCTTCAAGTATGCACAGGGTAAACGTTGCTTCAGTGTAATAGCCAAATGGGAGAGCTAAACTACACTAGGCAATCTCCGTATGACGAGCTCGATCGAGAAAGCATGCAGGGGGTTTCGAACCTCCCATGCTCAACCAACTCGGTCACCCTTGCGGGTTAGCTCTTTGCCACCTCTTCAATGGATAGAAAGGTGAGTTTATTGCCATTTCTAAGTGAGAAAGAAACACACAAAAAAGAGGATCTTGGTACCTTCATGTAAGGCAGGGCATTATATGTTAGACCTACTTCACTTGTGATGCCAATAGGATACAACAATAAGAAAGTACTATACCTGCAGTAAGGAAATCAGCTTAATAAGAACATCCTAGAAACTATATCATCATCAGAGGCGCGCAGTCAGGATTTCAACTTTATGGATTCCGAATTTTAGAATGATGACTTCAAGTTAAATACTAATACCTTAACCACAAGAGCCAAGAAGGTGCAGAACCAAATGCCTCCCTTATGCCAAAAAATGAATATCGAATAATCTGAAGTTGAGCATAACGATAATACCAATGTTAATAATCTGAGTTTATGTGCTGATGGTTTTTATGAATAAGCAAGGCTCACCTCTGTAATAGACCAACTAATCACTAGAGAACTAACAAGTATATGGCTCCGGACCTGTAATCAACAAGTCAAGTCAATAGTAAAGAAGCTTCGGAATGCTTTACTGTGATCTGCAAGGAAAATACTAACCTCGGGAAAACTCCATAGAATTCCCCAGGTTACGTATAATCTTGAACTTATCTGTGGAAGAGTTGATGATATCGGAGACCTTACCAAACCTTATTTGAGGGTGAAGAGAAAGATAAACGAGTTATTGTTATATATAAAACGTTCTACCTAAAACAAAGAACATAGAAATGCTTCAGATCACATGAATGTATACCTGCTAGACTATGAAGTATCTGTTCAGCAAGATTTATGGACAAGAAATCAACTGTTAGACTTAATTCAATATTTGCATTTCACTTAAAACAATACGACACAATACAATACATTATGAAACATCACGTAACAACCAGTGTAAGTGCTAATGTGCTACACACAGAAACACAATAGAAACAGGGGTTCAGATATTACCTCAAAAAAAGCAGCAGTTTGAGCAAAAAGCAGAGGCTTTTCCACAGCATCATAGACATATTCATACCCAAATTCTTTCAAAGTTTTCACACCAAAATAAAACACTAGAAACCTAAACACCAAAAACCCAAAATCCATCACACACCCCAACAACAACAACAACAACAACAACAAAAAAACACAAAAAATGTGCAAAACAAACAAGAAATCCAAAAGGGTATTCTACTTACCATCCAAAAAAGACAATCCAATTGTAAAAAATGAGATACAAATGCCTTAAACCTGATAAAAATACAGCCATTGAAGAACAAAAAAAAGCTCAAAATTGTAATGTTAAAATCCAAGAAATTGAAATGGGTACTTAAAGAAACAATCTTTATGCATAATTAAGCTTAGTATTAGTAGATTAACCCACCTATAAATTATAATTCGGTTTTGGCTGCCTCTATTAAGTGTAGCACTAGGAGGCTACAAGTATTTATTTTTTTCCTTTTTTTTTTTGAGATTTGAGGTATTTTGATCAAAAAATAAAATGTATTTTGAGTTGCAAGTGATTTTTATTTTTTTATTTGTTGAGGAGAAACTATATATTTCTACTTCTTTCGAGAAGCATAGGCAGAAAATTAGTTCTTTCAAAAGATAAAAATATTCTTGTTCAAAGATTATATTTATCATATTGTCTCTTAGTATTAATTTGACTAATAAAAAAAGAGTGAATTTTAGGTTTAGCAAATATAAAAATCATATTAACGTTCTATTGCTATCGTTTTGTTATTTGCGCATTTGCTATGGAGCATTAGATTTGTATAAAATTGCATGCAACATCTGATTGTATAAAATCACATGCATCTGATTTGTATATATCGCAGCGATTTGTATAAATCGGGTGTCTGTGTCTATGAAATATGTATATGTTCTTTGTGTTTGTATATCTGCATAAAATTTGAATTCGTATACAACTGAATCGAGTTAAAACAGTTGTATTTGTATATCAAATCTCTTTCTCGCTTTATACAAACACAAATTATACAAAATAATATAATTTGGGTTTGTATAAAGCGAGAAAGAGAGAAAGTCAAAAGAAAACCGAGCAGGGAAAAAATTGTATTTATATAATTATAAGTGTATAAGGCGAAGAGATATATATTTATATTTGAATATACAATTCTCTCTTGCTTTATACAAACACAAACACAATTTATACATTTGAGTTTGTATAAAGCGAGAGTGACAAGCGAGATTCAGGGAGTGTGGCGAGCGAGATTCAGAGACGAATGAAATTGTGGTTATAACATTTATTTTAAATTAATAATTTGCTATTTCATACAATTTTTCCATAGAAGAACATATTATGATATTCTTTTCGTAATTTGATACTTCAATAATGGGGATTTTATCTTTTTATCTAATGAATCGATGATTTATTCTAAATAAGAAGAGCTTTTTAGATTTGAAAAAAGAAGAAGGAAAAAAGCATGTCAAATAAGGATTCTTACTCAGATCTCATGTTGTCTGGGAATAGCTCCACCAAGCATAAAAGAATGGAGGGTAGAATTGGTAAACTTTGCTCGAAAGAAGCGTCATTTATCCGTCCTTGCTTAGGAAAATATGAAATTACTATCTTTCGATTGATCTATTTTTAAATATCTTAAAGACTCTTATCGCTGCATTTTTTGAAAAAAAATTGTTCAAACATAATATGTTAAAAACACTTTTTAAACGAATTAGTCAAAGTCCATTACTATTAAATATTCAAATATCCAACTTAGATTAGTGTAATGCTCTAATATCATAAGCATGTTTTTTGTTCTCGTACTATTTCATCAAACCATAAAATCAATTGATTATGAAATGACATTATATATAGCATGATCACTAGTTCTCTACTTATTACATAAATATTATTATCAATTCTTAATAAATATTTTATTTTGAAATTAATCTCTAGACATTTTAGTGGTTGGCTGAATTACTGACAGTATAAGAAGCTGCCACGTGGTATACAACTATTTAAATAATCTTCTTTGTCTAATTCCTATTGGTTTCTCCTTTTGTTTTCACTTCATCAAAATGACAAAATGAAGTCCATTAAAAAATTAGTAAAAAGTTAACATGCTGTACAAAAGAGAATTTTAAAAATATATGTAGATGATTAGGTGAACATATATTAACAAATTGCTAAGTATTCTTTAATCTTTTTCATTTTTATTCAATAGTATAATTATCCTTTTAATTGTTTAATTAATGATATGATCCTTAAACAAAAGAGTAAAACAAATTAACTACTCGATGAAAGAAGAATCAAAATGTCAGGTAAATGTGAGGCTTGTCTTATTTTCCGCATGCATTGGGCAGTCCTTAATTCATTTGGCTCGATAGAACTCGATAATTTTAGCTTAAATATTTCGTAATTTTAGTATTGTACTTCAATATTATGTATGGGAATATAAAAAGTAAAGAGAAAATAGCATGACTAGAAGAACGGTGTGAGATAAGTAAATTTATCATTAGGTTGATAAATTCACTTATTTTTTATTAAAAATAAGTTATTAGATCAAGAGATATCGTTTCGATAATGCTTATTTGTGCTAAAAGAAATCATTAACATATTCAAAATTCAGTAAGCAAAAAATAATTATATTCCAAAATTTTATAAACTAAAAAATCTCGACTCCGTCTATAATATTATTATCTTTTGATATATAGATGATTTATACATATGGTACATTGGATTAATATAGAATCTCCTCTCCTTTTGTTGAAAGCAAAGCATCACAATTCACATGTCTTCTCATAATTATTACCAAAATCTTCTATATATATAATAATAATTGGAAAAAAGAAAAATCTTTTACCAAAAAAAAATGTTTAGTTGAAAAAGGAAAATTACATATAATTGAGATTACATAGAAAAATCATGTGTAATTGGGATAAAGAAATAACAAAAATAGAACTATTTGAAAGAATGTTATTACTAGATAAGGGTCTTCCCCTTTTCCAAAGATCATACCATACTTGAGCAACATCCTTTAGTTGGTAGGCGGCTAACTCCGCCTTCTCTTCCGAGGACACCCCATAATAGAAAGAATTTTATAAATCTCATTGATAAACCTTTGGGGATCCTCTTCCACTTTAGAGCCATGGAATTCGATCGGGAGGGTTCATTCTAGCAAAATCCTTAACCCTTGAAGCAGCCGAATTCACATTAGGATTGACCGGAGCTATCACTTCTCTATTGGCTTGAGCTGTCACGACTTGAGCCAACATTTGGATAGTAGACCTAAACTCCGCATGGGTCACATTCTCAATCACGGGATCAACCGGAGCTTGGTTAACTTGAGGAGCTTGATTACCTTGAAGAGCTTCCTCATTCACATTGCCACCCTCCATTCTTCTAGCGTTAGCCCTTCGTGTATTCATATCCTGAAGACACAAGAGAAGGATTAGGAGAGGGACTTTTATAGAGTTAAACTCTAAGGCACGACTTAAGAGTAATGAAAGAAGTGAAACTTCCTAAACATCTTATAGCCTCGTGTGACATGCTTCACACTCATGAACAAGACTCTACTAGATGTGGCTTATGAGACATCATTCTAAACATTGTGCTTTGATTACCAAGTTTGTCACGACTCAAGGATACCCCTATATGTAACGAAGGATTGAATTTTATTTCATGTTTCGCTACTTGACAATTAAATTTAAAGGTCATTGGGTCGTCTACTCGTATTTACTTCACTTTCTTTATCTCTTGTACTTGAATAATTATACTTCCTTCCCGTTTCAAATGAAATATAAGATGAAAAATCTTAATAGTTCAATTGATCGATTGTCTACACTTTTTGTAACCCTAACTACCTTTTTTTTTTAATTAAAAGAAGAAGAATGAGTTAGAAAATTCCTTTATAACCGCAAAAATGCAAAATAAAATAAAATAAAATTACAACCATTACGTACAAAGTGATGTATTTGTAATTAATTAATCATATTTAAGTAAAGAAGAATTTATACCTATCACACGTTAAAGAGAAGTCAAATACACATCAATCGAAGCAATAACATTTGCGTACATAGCAAGACTATATTTTATACACTAACAAGTAAAAATATGTAAAATTCTAAGCTTAATAAAGGGAAAAAAAACTTTTCTTTCCATAAATAATGTACTCCTATTAAAATATCAAATTGTTTTGAGAATTGTTAAAATCAGTAATGAAAATTAAATTTTATTTCATGTCTCACAACTTGTTAATTAAATTAAAAAGTCACAAATTCATTAATTTAACCTCAAAACCAATGAAATAATTTACTAAATAAGAAGCATCATTAACAAATTGATGTATTAATCATTAAAGAATTTATACATATCACACGTTAAAGAAAGTCAAATACACATCCATCGAGACATTTTGGCGTAGCAATCGAGATTTTATATATATATATATATATTTGTAAAGTCTAATTTACATCAATTATTTTATGTCAAATAAATTAAACTTATCATAGTTAAGCGATTTGACAAAGAATATATATATTCTTTGTCAAATGTATATATCTTCTTTTGAATCAATTCCTACAGCTAAGCTGCATTAAGTTGTATTATTGGAAAGCAATTTGTAGGGATGTACCTAAAGCCATTAATTCAGTAATCATATTAATTGTGTGGGGAATTATTTTATTAAAACCAATAATTCTATGATTTGGACTATTGAAAAAGACTTTATTCCTTAATGTGAATGAATCCCCATAAGATCAAGAAAATTACTACTATTATTTTTATCCAACAAGTGAAGTGAATAATATTTTATTTCATAATTAGAGATTTCGAGTTTAAATTCTGCATAATACGGAGACACTTTTATAAGGATGTGAGATTCATTAACGCGAATTCAAATCTAGTTCGACACGAGTGAGAAATAAAAAGAATTGCTTATTTGATTGCATTTTTCACCATATATTAAAGTTAAATTCGATTTTTTTTTAGTTTCAAACATTTTATTATATGGTCCATTTTAAACAATTAATTATTTATTTTTACTCATTTTATGCTTGTTTATTCTAAGAGCAAACAATTAGAGTCTATTTAAGGTGGAAAATGGCACCAAAAAATAGCAACAAAAACAGTCAAAGAAAAAAGGGCTCAGAAAGCCTTTCCTCATCCTATTCCCTCAAATACCAAAACACTCAAAAACAAAAGGGAAATTATAGTGGGACAGTATTTTTTTTTTAATTTTTAATTAAAAAATTTGAGATTGAGTTTGATAAGTAAAGTCATTTAAAATATTTTTTTGGTTAAAATTTGGAATAATTATAGACTATAGTTAAAATAATTGCGATTCAGGTTCCTTATTAGTATACGGAAAACTATCTCTCGAGCATATGACTAAATGAAGCTCCGATTGATTTGTAATATCTCCTTTTAGGTTATTATTTAGATTTTGTCCCATTTATAAAAAAATATATAAACATAATTCTTGAAAAATTATTCTTCCAGACAACATTTGAATATTGATTGGTCTTATTTGATAGGATTTACGCGTTATCAATTTCTGAAAATGTATCTCCATTAATTAAATTATTTCTGACCCTATCTTTGGATTTTTATATTATTGGTACACAATCTATGAAGGTCTTCCCTACATATATTACAACGTTCCACCCTTTATAATAGAGAAATTTTAATGGTCGAAATGAAACTAGGGATTCAATTTCAACATCTCCTCATATATTGTTAATATTACAAATCAAATAATGAATGTGCATATGATGTTTATAATAACTTATCAAATTTTAGATCACGAATCAATATTTCCTCATAAACTATTTAGTCTTTTAAAGAAAAAAACTTTAAATCATAATCTAAAAAAGCTTACAAATTTCTCAATATTATTTACTAAATATCTTTCCAAAAAAAGTCATAAAAATCACTCGTGAACTAGTGTTGGTCATAAATCATATAAAATCATAATATTGAGTCAAACATCAAAATTTGATATTTCATATTTATTTCTGATAATTAATTATCAAAATTAAATATCGAAAACATCGAATCAAATATCGAACGTTCATAACAGTTGTAACAACCCCTTCCCCAACCAAATAGACCCCACCACTCACCTTCCTTGTGAATGTGAAAAGAACAGTATAAGAGCAAGTGTCGGTGGCTTGGTGCCTAAATAGCAAATTGCAACCATTATTATTAGTCACATTAAAAAGCACATTTTTTTAATAAAGTAATCATCCTTGTGATATTCACAATAAAGCTAATCAAGAAAAGACTCATCCATCAAAAGTTGCGATACAATGGATGATACTGCTTTTTATCTTAATTAAGATTATCGATTTTCAATTTTTAATATGTAAAAAATCTTAATAAGAGTACCTTTTTTGAATAAATTTTATGTAGTACGAATTTTAACTAGCATGTAATACGTAAATTATTTAGATTCTAATATAAATATTGAATGCTTTCTTTCTTAATTAAGATTGTCGATTTCAAGTTCTAAATATGTAAAAATAAATTCTATGTAGTGTGAATTTAAATTAGTATGTAGTACACAAATTAATTGGACTCTAATATAAATATTAGATACGAATATCTTTAGGAGCGATGCAATGAATGATTGTTCCTTTTTTGATTAGAAGTCTCGATTTTGAATGGTGAATATATAGAAATTTTTAACGAAAATATTTTTTCTAAATAGACTCTTTATAGTGTAGATCCAGATTAGTATGTAGTACACGAATTAGTTAGATTTTAATATGAATATTAGACATGAAAACCAAAAAAAATGAGAAAAGACTAATACCCCACCTCCATTGTTGCCACGGACGTAATGGTGCAATGAATGATACTGTTTTTTTCTTAATTAAAAGTCTCGATTTTAAATTAGGAATACATAAAGATACTTAAAGGGAGCACTTTTTCTGAAAATCCAGATTAGTATGCGAATTAGTTGAACTTTAATACGAATATGGACACGGAAATCAAAAGATTAATACCCCACCTCAATTGTTGCCACGTACATAGCGGTGGATGTACCTTTTTAATTGTTTTTCCATGTTTTCTCACTTCAATGAATCCATCCGTTGTTTGGCTGTAATTGGTGTAAACACCTTTGCATCTTGATAATTGATAAAGACAAAGCATTTACACTTCACAGAAACTAATTTTTGTAGCAGTAAAATCACTTCAGAGGGGCAGCTGTAAGCTTGCTGTTTGCTTCTTTGGTTTTATTATATGCTTTGATTTTTGGTAAATGTGTTGATATTATATGGAAGGGAGAAGATAGGTGCCCCCATGTGAGATGCTTTTACTGAGGCTCATAATGATATTGGCCCCTCTTTACTCTTCCTACTGATTCTTGATTTCTTTCTCTTACTTCCTTGAAAAAAGATTGCTTTTCTTTCTTTCTTGTATTCCTTTCTTTCAAGTTTTTGAGAGTTTTTAGGCACACCCTTTTCTTTATATGCTTTATATTTTCATTAGGGGTTGAGCCAAAAACCAAAAATACACTACAGCAACAAGAAGAAGAGAAGAAGCAGCATGAGTGGAAATCATAGAGGAGGGGGTGCTATGGCTGGTCTTTTTGTGGTTCTTTTGACTGTTTACTTTATTACTTTTAGCCATGCCTCACCCACCATTCTTTCTGTAAGTTTCTATCTTTTTGTTTAGATTTTGCTTGTCTTGTGTAATTATAAACATAGTTATTTAGCCTTGTTGTTGTTTCTTGAATGTACCCTTTTCTTGTTTCCTTCTGTTTTGTGTTCTTTGTTGGTAGATGGAGAAAGAGGGTGATGGAAAAACAGTAAAAATGCAATCTTTAAGTTTCTTCAATGTAGCCTTTTTTTTTGTTTTCTTCTATTTTGTGTTCTTTGTTAGTGGTTTAATGGAATTGAATGGAAAAGGTAGATGGAGAAAGAGGGTGATGGAAAAGAACAGTAAAAATGCAATCTTTAAGGTGAAAAATGGTTTTAGAGTGAAATTTGGGGAATTTGGATGAAAATGGTCATCTAAAGATTAATTAATTTTACAAGGGTTGGTAAGGTGGTAAAAGATTTAGATCTTAGGGTTGGCAGAAATGGAAGTGTAGATAGTGTGAGTGTAGGTTTAAGGGAGTGGACTTTTTCTATGTGAGGAGGTAAGCATTAGTCTTGATTTTTTGGTGGATATGAGCAATTGTGGAATTTTTTTTGGATGTGGAAATTAGGGTTTGTTTACTAGCATTGTGGAAAGAAAGTTGTTTTTTTGTTAGGTGGATTTTGCTGATTTTGTAGTATCTTTTGATATCAAGACAGCAGAAAAGTGAAGCAGAAACTGGCAAAAAACTATTGTTTTGGTATAATTTGTAAATCTAGCAGTGATTGGTGTTGTTTAAGGAGGGATTTGGTGAGTCACTAAAGTTGGATCTGTTGACTTTGGACTAGTTAAGTGTCATTTCTTTAATGGTTTCTTCCAGTCTTAAACCCGTCTTCACGCCACTTGCCTGGTTCTCAGGAATGGGAAGTTTTTGGATCTGTTGACTGTACAGTCTGTATGGAAGAATTCTCATGTCATTGAAAAGATCTGATTTTTCAGTTAAATTTTTATATATTTGGTAGATCAACACAGTCAAAGAAGTTGCTATTGCCCTAAAATAATATAATAATAATAACAAAATTCTGTTTGGTGCAAGATGATTATACTTCTCTTTCAAAGAGAGGAAATCATAATTTTCTGGGAAAAACATCACATGCATATCCTATCCCAAAGAAGAGGAAATAATCATTCTTTTCTCAAGCGACAAGCAATAAACTAATCATTCCTATCCATGGTTTTGGCTTCAATGTCAATTGGAAGTATTCAAACTTAAAGGCTTGATGTAATGTTATACTATGGTCTCTACTGTTGCAGTTGCTACTGCATAAAAGGATTGAAAAGGGGTAACTGAACTTGGGGTCTGCATAACTTTCTTGAATAGAACCTAACATGGCTAGCCAAGCAAACAGGATATAACCAAAGAAATATCAAGGTTGCCATGATTATTCCGGAGTCTGAATTACATGGACTCTAAAAGGACTAGAGAAGTTCGACTAAACGACATATTTAGATTCTTTTGTTTCAATTCCGAAATTCCTTGTGATCTCTTTGACAAACTTTAGGAATCTGGTAAATTTGCGTCCATAAAGAATAAATTACGTGTTTTTGGTGTGTATCTATGTAATTATGTCTGGAACAGTCTAGAAAAAATTGATTGTATAGACTTATTTGCATGTGCAGGATTTGAATGCTCCAAAATTCAGGCACTCACGTCTTGCGAAGAGTGCTATACAACGCCAAACTGTGCGTAAGACCTTATTGATCACATTCACTTGTTCCTCTTAAATTAACTTCTGTTCTCCTGTCATGAGTTTGTGTCTTGCTTGGTTTCTTCTTTGTCTTTAGTCCAATGAAGAAGTGTCACAACTTTGGACACCTTTGGAACACCAAGGATGGAAACCTTGTTCTGAATCTGATGCTGCCTCCAGTGAGTGTCTATGATCACATCTAAAATTTACATCTAGTTTCAAGGCTTGCTGTTAAGCAATAACTCGATTGAGCTTCAGCGCGATCTTGCCGTCTAATTTTCCAGTGACTAATTACTGTTCCTTGCACTATGCAGCAGTACCTGAAAAATCTGAGGGATACGTTCAAGTGTTCCTTGATGGAGGACTAAATCAACAGAGGATGGGGGTGCGTATTATGATTCCTTTGTTTGATAGTTCATAGAAACAACATTAATGAATAATGATCAACTCCTTTGATTATAGAAACAAGCTGTTTGACCCTTCATTACTGACATCTATATTTCTTGGAAAAGATCTGTGATGCAGTTGTCGTTGCCAAAATTCTGAATGCCACACTTGTGATCCCTCAGTTGGAAGTAAATCCTGTTTGGCAAGATTCAAGGTATCTTAAGTATAGTGCTAAAATTGGTTTACTTTCAACTTTTAAGTATATATACAAGTTATCGTCCTCTTTGCTACAGCTCATTCGAGGACATCTTTGATGTGGATCACTTCATCAATGCATTGAAAGATGACGTAGCTATAGTCAAAGAGTTGCCTGATGAATTCTCTTGGAGCACGCGAGAATATTATGGCGTAGCTATCCGACCTACAAGAATCAAGACTGCTCCAGTTCATGCTTCAGCAAATTGGTATTTAGAGAATGTGTCACCTGTACTGCAGAGGTTAGTCACAAGATTGTTTTTGTTGAAGAATTTGGTCTAGTTGTATGATAGTCATGTAGACTGTGTTCAGTTTCTCAACCCACCCGTATGACAAAGTAAATGTATAATTGGTAAATTACTGGCAGGATTTAGTGCTCAAAACTTAAGGGAATTCTACAAAAGTTCCACTGCCCAGGATTTTACTATTCATTTTAAGTTGTATGTTCCCTTAAACCAAAATTTAAGTTAGGCATGGACTATATTTTATGTGTTTGATTTATTTCTTGATATAGTCATATTCTGTTCGTTCAGTTATTAGCTTCTGCAGATAGTAATTCTCTTATCAGCCTTTTACTGGAATTTGTGACATTGCTTTGTATATTAATATTTTATGAATGGATCAGTTATGGAATCGCTGCCATAGCACCATTTTCTCACCGGCTGACGTTTGACAACATGCCCAAGTACCTCCAACACCTACGATGTAAAGTCAACTTTCAAGCATTGGCCTTTGTTCCGCACATCAGACAACTCGGGGATGCCCTTATCACTCGCCTGAGGTTTCCTCCTAGTGAAGACAACATGGTTAGTAACAACTACCTTAGAGAGGTTACTGATCTTAAGCCCAAACAAGGAGGTGGCAAGTTCGCTGTTCTTCACCTTCGCTTTGACAAGGTAAAAACACCTTACTGTTGTTGAACTACCTGTCCTGCAATATCTCCCGATCAAATATTAGTACATCCACTTTCCTGAAAAGATCAGCTTTCCTTTACTGCCTGTTATAGGCAATATAACACTACTTATTGATGAATATTTCTCATATTTTTTAGTCAATTTTACTCCACCCAAAGTGTCACATAATTTAAGAACCTTTGGACTTGTTATCTCTCCAGGATATGGCTGCTCATTCAGCCTGTGATTTTGGTGGTGGCAAGGCTGAAAATTTGGCTCTAGCTAAATACAGGCAAGTAATTTGGGGAGGAAGGGTCATCAACTCGCAATTTACTGATGAAGAATTAAGGAGTCAAGGACGGTGCCCATTGACCCCCGAAGAAGTTGGATTGCTGCTGGCAGCTTTGGGATTCGACAACAACACTCGTCTATATCTTGCCTCCCATAAGGTCTTCACTGAAGTTCTGCATTTATAGAAACAATATGCCTTTCTTTAAGGCTAGAATACTTGAAGTAAAGCCAATATCTTCGTGTCCTGAAGCTTGTTCATGTTTTCTCTAGGTTTATGGCGGGGAACGCAGGGTTTCAGCCTTAAGAAGTTTGTTTCCCCTGATGGAAGATAAAAAGAGCCTTGCTTCTTCTGAGGAAAGAGCTCTTATCAAAGGAAAGGCTTCATTATTGGCTGCAGTTGATTATTATGTTGGCATGCACAGTGATATTTTCGTTTCCGCCTCCCCTGGAAATATGCACAATGCAATGGTAATCATTCAAATCTTTTTATCTTCTAGTTTCACTGTGGCTTGCTATACCGCCCTTTAGAATCTACTCCATTAGTTGTTAGTCATTTCTTTCAAACATGTTAATAGTAGATTTAAGTTATATACACTGATAGAATATAGTTTAACTTGTGATCACAAGTTAGTTACAATTACCTGATTACTCCCTCTCTGTTGTGCCTTTTTAGTTCTTTTTGGTCTAACACCTTTCTAATCAATAAAAACATTTTAATCTTGAACTTACCAATTAAACCTTAGACATGGTTTTATAGCCACAGAAATGTCATGACATTTGAATCACTAGCTTCAAAAGTTTTGTCATTCTTTCTTTGTCTACTCGAACGTCTTCACGTTAAATGGAACGCGCCACTCCAAGTGCATCACATTAAGTGGGACAGACGGCAGAGATTTACCCTAAGTGATTTGTTTATGTTACTGTTCCTTGCATGAATGTCTGCACTGCTTTCCTATTAGTTGTCATTTTTTTTTTCACTATCGTTTTTCCTTTCTGTTACTACTTTGATTTGCTTCACTCCACGAGGTAGGAGCAAGGTATGCATACACTGGGTATGTTGTTGATTTGGCCGTGTAAATAGTTCTTACACGGTCAATGCACAGAACATAAATGCCGCATTATTAGGCTGGCTATATGTGGTCCACACAGCTAATGAATAATACACCTACCTTGAAATTGACAGGTGGGACACAGAACATACAACAATATGAAGACAATAAGGCCAAACATGGCATTGTTAGGCCAGCTTTTCTTGAACAAGACACTCACTTGGCCTGAGTTTCAAGAATCAGTAATTGAAGGGCACCAAAACAGACAAGGCCAAATCAGACTCCGCAAACCCAAGCAATCCCTCTATACATATCCTGCTCCTGATTGTATGTGCCAAGCTTGAGAGGGCCTACCATATAGATCTTTATTATTATTTGTTTGGTCATCAAATTATTGTTTATTATGCCTTATATTATAGTTATAAATAAGATGCCACCCCTTTTGTTGACTTGTAGGGGTAATATATATTTATGTGTCACCACGTTGAGATTTACGGTAGGGGTGGAAGGAATATGTTGTACAATATATGTGTATTACTCCTATGAAGAGTGCATATACAGATAGTAGTATTCTAGTCTTGACAGATATTTTACTATGTAATGTCAGTTCTTGTAGTTTAATCAGAAGGGTGGTTTGTTTCATTTGGTTGATGTAGCAGAGGTTGATAATTATCAAATGGCAACTAGTGGAATTGATTTCATTATGTCTACACTATGGCTTTCAACTAGAAGTTAATGAAATTGAAGTATCTTTAATGTGCAACCAAATTCTTCTCAAGCCACTTCAACTCTAGTTTTGTTTTTCTATATTCAAACTCGAAAACCCCCTTGCAGAGCGGGTTAAGGGTTCTTCGTTTTCTATATTTAAATTAGAGACCGCTGGTTAAGGATGAAATGCAGAGAAAAAGGATAAATAGTTGGCAAGATCTGAATATGTGCCTTTCACCTCATTGAAAGTTTAGAAGCCTTGGATACAAAGTAGGAATCTGGATCTTTTATGAATGATGCCAAGAACAAATTCCTTGGACATATAGTGATCGTTAATCACTGTTCAAATTTGATAGATTCACTCACGAAAACAAGAAGTTTGTTGACTATCTCTGGTAGGATCATTGATTAGATATAGATTACACAAATGGCAAATACATGTATGTGTGTGTCTGCGGTAAACCAGCATGACTGAGAAAAATGACAATTCCTATAGAAGTTGCTCAACCAGGCCAATAACCAAAAAAACATGCCACTGGAGGATCAAACTGGACACATGACAATAATACATACATTAATAACCAATAGAAACTAACATGATTAACTCCTATAAGTTGACTAATTTTATACTAGTGTGATAGGCTAAATACTTCACTATCCTGGACATCAAGACAACTCTTTCAATGGACCATATAGCATCAAATCTGGTGTTGACAAAGAATTAGTGTCACATGAATTGTTAATGAAAACATAGTCGAATCAATTGTCGGTTGAGGGCCTTTTACCCGACTGATCTAGAGCTGTAGAATTAGGTCTGTTTGAACGCTGTCCGTCTTGTTTATCTTTCTCTGCAATGGTAGAAGCATTACTACTACTACGGCTAGTAGCCATTTCCTTGGATTCTGCTGGATTTGGTGGTGGCGACAGCTCTTCTTCAATTGGAAGGGTTCTTTTTGAACCCTCGAGAGCAACACCAAGAACAATGTTCTCTTCCAATGCAGGTTTCAATGGCACAGATGGTTGTGTGACTTGCGGTTTTTCATCCTCTCTTTTAGATTGTGAAGTGGATGGGACATTTCCTGTTTTCTCTCTAACATCTGATGGAGAAGTTGCGGAATTATCAACTACATTGGTCGTGCGACCACTTCCCTGGCTTACCTTCTTAACTTGCTTGTTGCTAGAGATGTTCTCTGGAGGATCTTTGGAATCAGAAGTACCAACTTCTGCAGACTTTAGCTCAGCTTTTGGGACCGGTTTTGAAGTGTTTTTCACTGTTGCTTTACTCGGTTTTGGATCCGATGCTTTGATGTCATCTTTGGATTCAGCATTTGCCATTTTGTCAACTTTGGGATCAAGTTTCAGGTCAGAAATTGGCACATCCTTACCATTAGAGTTAGCTGGAAGTGTTTCTTTGATTTTAGGATCAGATGCAGGTCCGCTCTTGGTTTCAACCTTGCTGTCAGGTGCCGGTTTCATGGTAGACTTTTCCTTGGTGTCTTCTTCACCATTCACACGAATTGGTCGACCTTTTGTGCGATCTTCCCCATTGACTTTATAAGATGGCTCAATCAGTAGCAACGGACGAGTTGATGCTGCTCCACGACTGAAGGCAGAGTCATATGGCATGTTGTCCAAGTCAGCATCACTATATATTTTCTGAACAGTACGGATGGGAGTGGCAAGCCGAGCTCGGTGATGTCGAATGACTCTGAGAAGATCTAACAAAATAGCTTCCTAATATCATCCAAGAAAAAAGAAAAGGTCAAAACACAAAGTTGTGGATCTCCAAATGAAATGGAACCAAAACCGACTAGCAATAGCCAATAAGAAGTATCCTTCCTGAAATCAAATGACCACTAAACAGGTAGGTGCCAACTTTCATCTCAGTTCACAAATTCCATAATTCAACCATCTCTTGTTAAACAAACATATGAAACAGCAATTCGCTATGTATTTCATGAGCAGATTATTCGTAATATGCAGAAGAATCGTCTGATAAAGCAACCTTCAGAAGCCGAGAAATTACTTATAGCTACATTCAAGTGTTAAGCATCTCAGAAGACAGAGAAATCATTGCCTTCTTTTTCCACTCTTTTCTGGATAAAGTAAACTTATTGCCTATTGTTCATGGGCTAAATGGCAGAAAATAGAAAAGAGCACATCTCATTGGACTAGATGATTAATCCCCAACAAATAATTTTGTCGCTGGCACCTACAGAACTGTGGCTTTTCAATTACTTGATTTTTGGGGAGCAAGTGATGGGAGGGTTCGGGAGAGAAGTGAACTTTGGCAAGGAACAATCAACTTCATTTGCATACATACATGGGGATTTTGAAAGAAATATTTTATCGACGGTTTCCTACCATTGCCAGGATTAATACTAAAGTTACAGAAAGCAGTGTGCTTCAAATTGAGGATAGAACATTTTACTGTTTTACTAAATATTCTGGATTACAGAAACTCTTCATATAGGATTTGTAGCAGGATCTTCACTCACCTTGACACACAAGTATTCTTCAAAGTGTGATGTCTTGACAAAGCAGGATATTAAGATCTGCACAATAATGAAGCAGATATTTGTAAGAGTAAATAAACCACCAGCGGAATAGCATTTCAAGAATGTCAAGCAACTTTTCATGTGAGACAGAGTACATGTTGAGGAGCATAAACAGCCCGGTCCTCGAGAATTTCTGAGTCTCTCACTTACCTAACCATACAAACACACACACATGCAAACAACAATTGGTTCCCTGACATACGGAGTATGCTAAATGGATGGGTCAGCCATAACCCCAAGTAATAGCTAATTGAAAGCAGGCAAGCAGAGTGGACTAGGTTCAACTGGACCATGAAAGTATTTTGCTTTTTAGCAAATGGAAAGATCATCAGTCAATTAGATAAACTGCCATTACATAATGAACTTAGATAATATTCACACACTGCTTTCCAATTATACTATACACTACCTTGAATCATAGAAGGAGAGTGGTACTTCTTGATTTACTTGCTTTAAGTACCAGTTCTCAAGGTAAATAGATCACGAGGTGTACTAATATAATGGTCTCACTGATACTCATGACGCACAAATCTTCAGTAAATGGGCACCAAGTAGTGTGCCTTGAGTTTACATAATTTGCTTCTTTCTATACATCCTGCTCGGGAACTGCAATTCAATCGATTAGTTTGGAAGACAACCCTAATTCTTTGTTAAAAGAGTTTACCAACTTCAATTAGATACAATTCTAGCCCATTATATCTGGAGGCAACAAAAGCAGCAGCCACGATTATGAAATTACTCTGGGTACTCCAGATCTAGAAAATTGCAAGCAGACCAGACATACTCTTACACCCTAGAGAGAAGTAAAAGCACCCAAGATAATTTTCAAAACATACTGGTTCGAAAATCATGTAACTAAAGCAGCCTTTACACTGATAATGACAATCCATCCAAAAGTCACAAGATATTAATAATCAAACATTGACACTAACCAACAGGGCTTGATTTTCAGGGTTGACATTCTCCAGGAATACTCTTCTATGTAACCTCTGTTGCTCAACTTGGGGATTCTTTGCCAAAACTTTGCGCATGTCAGCTACAATATTCTACAGAAAGTCATGGTAACATAGAGATCAAACATCAGTAGTATAACTTATTTTGCTGTATTTTCTTGGCTACGAGAGTGAAGTAATGCTCACATTTATCTTACTGACATCCAAATGACTGATGGCTAAGTGAGTTTTAATACGCCAATGAGTTTTCTGAGTCAGATTCCGGACAACATTAACTGTAAACTTGTGGTTTGGAATGTGAATAGCCTCTCGATCCTCGCCTCTTATGATTGTAGGGGACCACCAACCCACATGCTGCAGAAAACAGATAGAGAAATTTATGAGTCGCGGAAAAGTTAACAGAAAAGTGCTAGAGGAAAAGGCTCATACATTCTTCTGATCTCAAACATTAAATACTGGTTTTTTCCCTCAAGCGCAAGTTCATACCTCAACTGTGCCAGAAACTTCATAGCCTTCAATCTTGGTTTGAATCCATTCATTAAGGACAAACGGACGGGTGGCATGGATCATGATACTTGAAAGAAAATTTGTGAATATCTAATAACAACATCACAAGAATAATTGCATTACCATCTTCATCGAAACTGGAACTAGAACTATAAACTATAAACGGCCTTTTCCATGCCTATATGAAGATGAGCTTGAATAATGGTGTTATAACCAACAAGTTCAGCAAGATAAACTATGAAACAGACCTCGCGACCAGCAAGTGTCAGCAATACTGTCCCAAGTCCTCCCGCAGTTAGCCATTTCTGTGTAGAGAAACCTAGCAACTCCATGAATAATGACGCAGCTGCGACCCACACTGCAGTATAAATAGCTCTACCAGCAAACTGGAAGCCCATCTGCCAAGAAGCAAGACGCCCATATATGTACAATATATCAATTGAGACTAACAAAAATTACTTCCATCAAAAGAAAAAAATAAAAATAAAATGACACTAACTAATCCAATAGGTGCAAAGAATTCTTACATTTCTAGTATCATTTGCATCACTTGTCTCCATGAAAAACTTCTGTGCTTGTTGAATAACACTGCATTCAATCATTCAAGGTTTACTCTTAAGAAGATACAACAAACAGCTATTTGTGAAGCAACGAATACATTGGTATAAATAAATTTTGCCTACAGAATACAGAGAATACTGAGTGCCATTCTGTCAATCTCATAGAGAAAAAGACATTTAAGCAGGTAATCTACTAACCCCTAGAGACAGTGTAGTCAATACAATTTCGTGTATCAAATAGAAAAATTTATTGGAGCAAAGTTTGGATATGAAGGCACTTATTAAGCAGCATTACAGCTTTACCAAAATGGTATTATCAAACTCGTGATTATTGTAAAATAAGTAGCATCCAGCTTTTTGACAAAATACTACAAGAAAGCTTAAGAGATGCTCTCCACCCCTCAACCCAAAGCAA